TCCCTAAAATCTGGCGCATTGTAAATCTGACGCTTCAAGACAGAAATAACGCAAAGTCATAAAACAGCGCTCTTTGTGCAAAACGACACCCTCCTTTTTTGCAGCAATCTTCATTCTGACCGGTAACTTGTGCAAATTTTGTGCCTATAGGTATACTTTCTACTGCACAGAATATTTTAGTACCCTTGGTTAATTTAACATCTAATAGCTTTTTGGCTTGTTAAATTTAGCATCATTCGGTACAAGTCTTCTTTGGACGATTTGGAGTCACTTTGCATAGAAAAAGACCGGACTTCTACAGTTCATCACAAGGTACTCCACTGGCCGAGTTATGCTTAGATTGGTTTAGGCAAAAAACAAGTTTTCTTGTACTGGAACTAAACTTTATGCCGGAACTCACATGACTGGAAACAGGAGGAATCACATGCAAGCACACAAAACAAAAGTCACATCCGCAACAAACCATTACCACTTACACTTTTAGCCTTTTTTGTTTTGTGTGCTTTTTGAGATTTTGCACTCAACTGGTCACTCGGAATTGCTTTTTTACTGCCCACAGTCTGGTCTCCCTCCGAGATTTTCTCCTTTTGTCGAATTTTTGCCCTATGAGGAGACTCCTCTCTTTGCACATCTTCCCTCGGAACACCTCTCCCCATCTGCAGATGCTGCAAACATTTATTTTACTTCACTGCCTTCCTTAAATTGTCGGTTACTAGTGAGGAAAGCATTTTCTTCATATTATAAAAACGTACTCGTCCGGCCGGCTTGGAAACGCTTCCTGTTTTTTTCAATCCACTCTGATCTGGCTGCAATTAATAAATTTAAATCACGAGTAGAAAAATGCTGTGCAAGTTTTTTTGGAGAAACGGCATGTTTTTGCCTTGAATTTTACTGAGTAATGAGAATGCGAAGATTATATCAAGGGACACAATTACTGGACTGACCAGTGCTGATGGCCTTTTCCGAGCAATTTCAGAAATAGACGGTAGCTCTGAGATTGACTCCGACATTTCATCTTCTGAGCCAGCACCTTCATCCTGCTGCATTGCCAATAGCTCCTTTCGCCTTTCCGGACCTATCTTTAGGCCCGATTCTACTGTTTCGTCAGCCTAAATGAATTTCAGTTAGAGGTTGAATTAAGATGTTGGTGGAACCCCAAAAAGTTTAACAGCAAAAACTTAGAAACTCGAAGGCTTGGCTAGAAAATGGCATAAAATTTTTCACGGTCAGAGAACTTATATTTTGCGTTTTGCGCAATGCAACAGCAGCACAAAACGCAAACTGTCATGCCTGTGTATGTGTTTGTGTCAGCGTGCGTTTTGTCTCATACTTTCAACTCGAAAACCTCGGAAGGTAGGAGGCTGAAATTTGAGATAAATGTGTTCCACCTACGAGAGACTTCGCAAATTTAAATCCAGCCTCCAAATACTCCCTGGTACCACGTACGGCTCTGTGAAAGCTTTGACGGGGAAAATTGTTATCTCGGAATCACAGAAGCTAGAAAGCTGAAATTCTAGAATGATGTCTCCTGCTTACATGCGACCCCGCAAGTTTAAATTCAGCCTTCCTGCGCGTCTGGTATCACGTGCGGCCCCGCGAAAGTTTTGGCGGAAAAATTATTTCCACGGTAACCAAAACAGCCAGGAGTCTTAAAATTTCAGGAGGATTTTTTATGCCTCTGCAAAGGTCTTAAAAACTCAAGTTTAGCTCCCAAGTATGCCGAAGT